TCAGTAAGTCTGTATATTCACTACTTGAGATGCTCTACCTGTGTCAGGCTCAGGCTTTTGAGGTTTGACACAGAATTTGTGAATACCCCTCCACTGTGTCCCCAGTGTCAGTGCTGGAGGAACAGCTCAGCTCTCCTACTCCTCACCCTGCAGGAATCCCAGGCATGTACAAGTCTGGTGTTTCAAATGAGGGCTGAGCAAGCTTGAAAAATTATTTCCCTGGAAAAATATTCCTATTTTTCAATATTTCCTATTGGAAAAATACGCCTGGAAATAAAATGTTTTTCTTTGACAACACTTAAAACCTTCTAGCCAAAGCTTATTTTCATATAATGATTTCTAGACGTCATTAAACAAACTACCTGGCAACTTGCAGCCTAATTTTGAGCTCAGTTTGGTTCTGTTCTGGGGAAATTGTTCTGTGCTCCTCACCATTGGATGCACGTCCTCATGAAATACAGTTTGTTCTCTTCCCCTGCTTTCTATGCACAGGAATATGTTTCAGTCTGTTACAATGTATTATTTTTAATGCAAAGTGAACGAACATTAGGCTCGATTAGGAAAGAATGGATTAGGGAAAGAAAAGTAGTGGAATGTGTGGTGCTTTCTGGGCTGAGAGGATTTTTGTGGCTTTGGACCTTACCAGAGCACAATTCCTGCTCAGTTTTGCCTGGTAATCTTTGTTCCTGGAGAGGGAAATTGGTGGTTCTGTCAGTTCTGGAGCTCTGAGGTGGCCTGAATTACTCAGTGCTGTGGCAGCTCTGTGTGGGCACTGCACAGAACAAGAGTCAGAGCCTGGCCTGGTGTTCTGTGACACTTGCAGGCTGGTGGGAATCACAGTTCTTACATGGTTTTGGTTTCAGAGTAGACTTTGTCCCGATGCTGGTGTCTGTGACCCAGATGTGTTCCTGGTACTGATGGATCTGAGGGTCACTGAGGGCTATTTCAGGAGGTTGAACACAGCCACAGCTGGATTTAAACACAGCTACACTGTAATGTCACCGTGCTGTGGTGATGAGCTTTGCTGTCCTGTGGCAGGGATGGGGAGGAGATGCCCCAGAATCCCAAAATCATTTGGGTCAGGAAATCCCTCCAAGACCATCGAGTCCAAGCTGTGCCTGATCCTCAGCCCAGAGCACTGAGTGTCACATCCAGGCCTTCCTTGCACACCTCCAGGGATGGGGACTCCAAACCTCCCTGGGCACCCCCTGCCAAGGCCTGACCACCCTTTCCATGAGGAAATTCCTGCTGATGTTCAACTTAACCCTCCTGTGGCACATCTTGGGGCCATTTCCTCTCATCCTGTCCCCCCCCTCAGTACAGTGACCTGCCAGGGGAGTGCACAGAGCAGGATGTGAGATGTTCCTCTGGCCACGGCTTCTTGCTGTTGTCCGAGTTCACCAAGCACCAAAAACCCTGAGAGATATCTTGGAGTGACTGAGATTGGAGACCTTTAAGTGCCCTAATCAGGGTCAGACCCTGTGTTGCAGACTTTGCAGAGCACCATCCCACATTCCCAAAGCTTTTCCTGCCCGCGAGCCGTTGGCCGGAGCGCCGGGAAAGGAGCCCGTGTCTGGTGCAGATGTCACTGCTGCTTTGTTTGTCAGGATTCTGTATTTATACACAGCACGTTTCGGGAGGATTTGGAAACAGCTTGATATTTTTGTTCTCTAATTTGCTATTTTGCCTACTAGAAAGAGGCTACATCAGCATTTTGGACCATGTTCAGGCCGGCTGTAAATAGATGCAGCTTCCTTTCAATCAGTGACATTGTGAACGCTTGTATTGGGGCTAAACATGGCTATTTTTAGCTCTGCTCTCTCACCTAGTCACTCCTGTTTGCTTTAATAAGGTTTTTATTTACTCCTGTTAAAAGGTTACTTGCATCAGATGCTCATAAAATTCCAGTTAGAATTAGTTAAGTAATTTTCTCCGAGTGTCTTATGGTGGAGTTCCTCGTTGTTGTTCTGGTTTATTTTATTTATTATTCCGTGCTGTCAGCTAATTGACAGGGATGAAGAGGTGGTGCTGTGGCTGCAGGTGACCTTTAGACTGCTGTTGGAGGCAGAGGCCAGTGCTGGCCCCTGTGGCTGCTGTCCTGGGGGGATGTTGGCAGAGCCACAGCCTGGGAGCAGGGCAGGAAAATGCCACGGAAGTGGAAAATGAGAAGGTGGATTTAATCCTGATGAGTGGCCCTAGTGAGGCCACATCTGTGTTCAGTTCTGGTCTTCACTGTTCAAGCAGACAATGAGCCCCTGGAGAGGGTCCAGTGGAGGCCACAAACGTGATGAGGGGTCTGGAGTGTGTGGCTGGTCACCAGCAGCATTTGTGTTCTTTGATTGTGGGAAGGGCTGAATTCTGGAGACAAAAACCAGGGGTGGAGGGGTGCTGTTGATTAGAGTCAGGATTTAATGCAGAATTCCTGTGGTCATACTAGAAAAACATACTTGTTTAAAATAAATACTGAAGTAAGCATTCATGTTCTGTTTTAAAGAGATGGGTTAACTTAGCTCCCCTCCTTGTGCCCTCCAAGCTTGTGACAGGGAAGAGCTCTGGGAATACCTGGTTACAGGTGGGCTGTCTGACCTGAATCTGCTCTCCCCACCACCCAATCCCTGCCTGCTTGTGCCTCTGGTGAGCACTACAAACCTCAAAGTTTGCCTTCATCCCTCCTTGAAAGCCATTTTGCCATGCTAATTAGAGTCAGTGCAATTCATGGCACTTGGCAAATTTGTTTTAGGATTGTCTGCACAAAGCTAAAGGGGAAAATGATTGTCCAGAGACTGGGAAGGAGGAGGCTGGGAGCCCAGAGCAGCTGGGTGCTGCCTCGCACTCTGTGTGTGTATTATTGATATCATCCATCACTTTGGTGTTACCAGAAGAAGCTTTAAAAAAATATTTTTCCTTTCCCTTAACAACCAGTGATCTGGTTGTTGCAGAAATTATATAGTTATAACAGAAGGAATCTTTAAAGCCAAAGCTGTCAGCATCTTTATTTCATAAATAATTGCTGGTTCTTTTTAGCTGTTACTTAACGCTATCATTTTATTAATTCCTGCTTTCTGTTCCTGGGCTTATTTTTCTGTGTGCTGTTAACTGTGCTTATTGTGCTCCTCGTCAGCTCTCCCTGAACTTCTTAAAACTCCTGTCACTTACTCAATGCTGCATCTGTCACTTCGTTGTGCCATTATGTGAGAGCTGCAGTTTCTGGCTGATCATTTTTCACTCAATCCAAGAGCAGCAGTAAAGGAGGAGATTTCCTTTGTGTTGCAGGGGAAGTGCAGGGTCTGTTGATAGAATGGGAGGTCGAAACAGAAACAATTTCAGTCTGGGGAACATTAGGCTCTATTTGGATTTGTCTGAATCATAGAATCACAGAATGGTTTGGGTTGGAGGGGAACCTTAAAGATAATCCAGTCCCATGGGTAGGAACACCTTCCACTCTCCCAGGCTGCTCCAAGCCCTGTCCAGCCTGGCCTTGGACACTTCCAGGGCTTGGACAGCCCCAGCTTCTCTGGGCAACCTCTGCCAGGGCCTCACCACTCTCACAGGGAATGATTTATCCCGTATATCTCACCTAAATTTCCCTTTCCCATCTGAAGCCATTCCCCCTTGTCCTGACTCCAGTTCCTGATGCAGAATCCCTCTCCAGCTTCCTCGTAGCCCCTTCAGATCCTGGAAGGTGCTGTGAGGACTCCACACAACCTTCTCTTCCCCAGGCTGAGCAGCCTCAGCTCTCAGTCTGTATATTTTGGGTATATCTGGGATTTTGCAGTGCAGTGCCAAGGGGCCTCGGGGAGGAGCAACCCCGTGTCCCGTGGCTGCATAAGCCTCTGATTGTTCCCTGTGCCATGGGCTTGGGAACCTCTTCTTTCTCTGCCATAATTAAATTTAAAAAGTTTGGAAAATACTAAGCAGGGCTGGAATGTTTGGCGTGGCCTTGCTGGAAATGTGTGTTGGTATATTTTCACACTCCTCCCACAGTTGTCTTTGTGGTTTATTGTTGTGTTTTTTTGTTGTTTGTGGGTTTTTTTGGGCCCCAGCCAGGAGCTGGGACCAGGCCAGGGATTTTTCTTTCACTGCATTCAGCGCTGTTTGTGCCACTCTTCAGTCTCTTAATTACCCAATCTTCTTTGGTTCATTGTCCTAGAAAAGTTCAGTCCATTCAGCAGGATTCTGCTCCCTGCTGCCGCTGGTTCCGTCATGTGGGAAATAAGGAATTGAAGTCAGCTCCTGAAATTTCACTTTTTGTCCTCAGAAAGCCAGGCTGGCAAGGAGAGGTGGAGGTGCAGGTCTGGCTGGGGAGGTGGGGGACTTTGGGTGGTTTTGGCAGTGATGGGGACATTTGTGACACAGATTCCTGTGTGAAATTCCAGGGTAGCAGGTGCCAGCTCAGAGGCAGGGAAAGACAGTGCTTCCATGGGATGAGGCTTCTGACAGAGCATTAAAATGCTCCTAATGGAAGATTCTCATCTGCAGCCTGCCGGGGTCATGCTCTAAATTACTTGCAAAGGAACTGTAAAGACCCTGATGTAATTTATTGAGCAATAAAACCCATTAGAGGTAACATGAACCGGTAATTCTGAAATGGGAATGCAGAAGAGGTTGTGCTTCATCAGTGAAATGTAGGTAAATCTCTTGCAAAAAACCCCAAAATGGTGAATAGTGTCTAGTTTTTACTGGGGGGAAAAAAAAGAAGGAAGAAAATGTGGTCTGTGAGAAGGATCAGGATATTTTGGTGCATTATGGAAACGCCTCATAAAATCCTCAGCAGGTGGAAGCAGTAATGGGCTTAATACACCTGTGGGCTGCGAGGCAGGCTTGGCATCCTTTTGTGCTGGGAACGAAGAGCTGGAATCAGAATCCTAAACCTTGGCAACTGGGGATGCTCCCACAGGTTTATCCAGCCCGTGGTGGAACTCAGGTGGTTTCATGAGCCCATTTACTGGACATCAGCGCAATGAGACAAGGTTTTCTGATTTTTCTGGTTTTCTTTCCAGGATTTCTGCTCTTTAAAGACTATTGCATGAATGAGATCGATGAAGCTGTCCCTCAGCTGAAGTTCTATGAAGAGGTAAGTGCTGGTGGTGGAGGTTTGGGGCTGTGCAGGGAGTGAGGCTGAGGGAGGCTGTGCAGTTCCTCCGTCAGGGAATGCTGAGAGGGACGGAGAGGGTCCATGGTGGGGAGCAGTGTGGATTGCTAGAAAAGGAGCTGAGGTGAAGTTGCTGGTGTTGGGGTGACACTGAGACCCTTCAGATCTTTTCCCAGGAGTTCACCTGTAGAAAAGGCAGCAGGGCACAGCTGGAGGGATTGTGGAGGGATGTGGGGTGGGAGCTGCTCAGATGCTCCAGGAGCTGCCGTGGCAGGGCTGCAGAGGGGACACGAGAGGTGGCCTTGGATGAGTTGTGTCCCTTGTCAGGGGATACCCAGTGAAGGAGCTGACAGGCACTGTGCAGGGCACGTCCCAGAGGATCCATAATTCCAAGGAATGCCCTGGCCCTCTCCAGCTTCTGCTGCTGCACGGTCTGAGCTCCATGGCTCTATTCATTCGTTCCCTGTTACATCTGTGGCACTGAATAAACCCCCAGTGAATCCTCTGCAGGTGCTGGTTTCAGGGCTGACCTGCCCATGCCTGATGCTCAGGGTTAATTAGAGCTGGGATAGCCTTGGCTGCCTCACTCTTGAGCTGAGAATTTAACTTTTTTCTTGCTATCAGCACAAACAGCTGGTATCAATTTGGAGATCAGTCCTCAGCAAGACTCCATTCCCCCACTCAGATCAGATACCTGCTGTCAATAAAGAACCTTTTTCTGTCATTTCTATCTCTTTATACACTTGAAGATATCACTGTCATAAGTAATCCAAAAAGGCCTGTTGTACCAGATTATTTAGCAAGATATTTTTGGCTGCCTCTTTATCTCTGAAACAATTCAAAATTGTATTTTTAGGTTATTAGCAAAGTGTTGCCTCAAAAGAATTTCAGTGCTTTGTCATGTACTTTTGGAAAAATCCCATTAAAGATATTTAAAGAGAGGTTCATTGTGTTTTCCTCTGTGACATACCGGATCCAGGAGCTTTTCCTTTTTTTATATATTTGATTTACTTGCTGCATTTATTACACATAGAATAATCTGAGTACATTGCTACATTAAAAATCACTTGATGTAGAAGAGCTCCATACTCCAGGGATTTCATATCACTGCAGCTGGAGTCACGATCAGGCATTTAACAGGATGAGTGATTCATCCCGATCAGTTTCAGAAGGAAAAGAAAAGGAATTAAAAAGAAAAAGTAGAGGAAAAAAAAGGAAAAAAAAAAAGGAAAAAAAAAAAGAGCTTCTAAATACTTGAAAACAAATTCCCTCTGATCCCAGTTTTTGAGGAGATCCTTTTGATCTCTGGGGGAGCTCTGCTGAGACCCCTCAACACTGGCTGGGGAGTTGAGTCCTTTAACAACCAAACATTGAGGGACAGGAGGTTGTACTCAAATAAAACAATCAGATATCCATCAGGCTTCCCTCCTGTACTGCTAATTATTTTGTGTCATTGCATTAATTAAAAGTGTTTCTTGGGCAAAGATATTTTGAGTCATTTTAATTATAAATTGGTATCAAGGGGGAAGCAGCACAGATGGCAAATCGGGGTGGGACTGGTGCCTTATCATGTCAGCAAACAAGAGGAGTACAGCTAGAAAGATACTGAGTTTAATTAATGTTCCACCTCCAGAGGTAGGTAGGTTGATTCCAGTTTGTCTCTTGATAATTGGATTTGATGATCTTGGAGGATTTTTTCCCAACCTAAGCAATCCTGGCATTCTGTGGCACAGAGCAGATCTGCTCACTGCCAGGTATCTGCGTTCCAGGACTTCTCAGGCTGGGAAAGTCCAGGAAGTCACAGCTGAGTCTTTCCCCTTCCATGTTTTTTTTACATTTTGTCATTCCTGGAAGAACTCTTTTCCTTTAATACGCTCCAGAGGACCTGTGGACTCGGTGAACTTTTTGTTCTGGAGCTGGTGGTCAGGTTTTGTTCTGTAAATGAATTATCTGGGATTGCTGTTTCAGCTGGGACGTGCTGATCTCTTACAGCACACCTGAGGAGACATGATGTATTTTGTAAAGCTGTCTTTTAGCCACATTTAGGGTTCAGATCCACGGTGTAGCTGAGCTGTATGAGCATTCTGAAATGTGCTTTATATTCTTTCTTGGACACCTGTGCCCGATGTGCAGTGATCAAGGAATTTTTGGGTTGGAAGAGCCCTCTCAGCCCATCGAGTCCCCCTGTTCACTCAGCACTGCCAAGGCCACCACTGAGCATGTCCCCAAGTGCCACAGTTAAATCCCTGCAGGGATGGGAACTCCACCAGTGCCCTGGGCAACTGTGCCAGGGCTGGAAAATTCCAATATTAAAGGGAAATCCCAGCTGTAACTGTGCTGTTGCAGGTGATTTTTCATCAATAAAGAAAATGATAAAATAAAACTTCAGCCAAAGCCCCGTTTTGAGGGAGAAATCACCAGAAAATGTGTGGTGTGTGCTTGTCCTTGTGCTGCAGATCAAGGAGTACGAGAAGCTGGACTCGGAGGAGGAGCGGCTGTCGCGGAGCCGGCAGATCTACGACACTTACATCATGAAGGAGCTGCTCTCCTGTTCCCACGTGGGTATCCTGCCCTTTCCCCCTGCCTGGCAGCACCAACATCTGCTGTTCCATCCACAGGCTACTCTGGATTTGCCTTTGAAATCCAGAATGATGCTTTTTAAAATTTTTTTTTAATTTTTATTTTTGAGGTGTAAATTGCGTGCTGCAATCTTCATTTAACTTAGTGGCACACAAAGGAAGTATCAGGAGATTTTTCTGGTTTATGTTTCTTTAGACTAAATGCCTGTTTCCAAAAGGATGAAATAAATGCAAGGTGTGTGTATATAGAGATGTGGCTAAAGTCACTGAAAAGACACATTTCCTCCAGCTGAGGTTTGGGCCCGTTGATCTGTTCTTAACAGTTTCACATGTTCTCATTTGAAAGAAGGATTTGCAGGGTGTTGTATCATGCTTTGGGTGGAGGGTTTAAGTTTCTAGTTTGTTGTTTTGTGGTTTTTTTCCCCAAAATGCATTATTTTATTAGTAAAACGTCCATGTCTGCTTCTGGCTCTGGAGCTGTGCCTGTAAATGGGATTTTTCATGGATTTGTTAAAGGAGGATCATCACCCTCTTTGATTTTTACCTTCCTCCTCCTCATCCTCCCCTCTCCTGCCTTTCTGCTTCGGAATAATCCTGTTACCTGGATCATTCTGCACGTTTCACACAATACCTGTGGGAGGCCCTTTTGATTCTCCTTGGGGTCGGTGTTTTTATTTGGGGAAAAGAAAAACAGTGCTGTGACCTGAAATGAAACTCCTGACAGTTCCAACTGTTTGAAATCTTCCTTTTTCTTTTCCAAAAGCCTTTCTCAAAGCAAGCTGTAGATCATGTACAAACACATTTAGCCAAGAAACAAGTGCCAGCCAGCCTTTTCCAGGTGAGCTTTCACAGTCTGAACATTCAGCTTCTGTGACAGAAAGTGACTTTCTAGATATTGTTTAAAGAGACAGAATAAATGGGACTGCTACATATTCTGTGCTGTAAGTGGGACTGAAATGCTTTTCCAAGTCAAAATTACAATTTACTCTTCTTATCTATAATATTTTCAAGCACATTTAGAAAAGCAAACTATACCTTGGTGTGTGAACAGAAGAGTTTTTATAGTTGTGTAATTTTAAGCCATTAAATGATTTAGAGTAAATCACTTTCCATCAGGAAGATGCTCATCCTGTCAGGGTGAACTGAGCTGCAACAGTGGAGAAATTGTCTTACCCATCGTGGGGGTGTTTGTAAGCTTAAATGTCTTTTATCTAAATCTGATGTATTTTTATATGCTGAAAAAATGTGGAGGTTGCCCCTGCCTGGTGTCTCTTGTGCTCCTGAGCTGTTCTGGCTGTTGCCATGAGCTGGGAAGTGGTGATTGCAGTGCTGGGTGATGTCTCAGCACTAACTGGGGGAAGGTTGGGCCATCACACACCCAGGGAAGGGATTTCCCTGGAAAAAGTCACCTGTGGTTTCAAGGTGCTGATCTCTCAGTGAGGAGAGAAGCACCACAAAGATGAGAGAGCAGCTCTGGGAAGTTTGGGTTCCACAGGGGTGACAATTTACTGTTTAAATACATTTGAAAGAAGAACTTTTTGCCCCCACACCCCTTAAGGATTTCTAGCTCACAAAAATATTTTGTGTTTGACTTCAGGGCACCTGCTCACATTCCAAAAGCCAAATAAAGCTAAAATCCTTTGTTGAGGGTTCTTGAGGACAACCCAGGAGCTGTGTGGGGCCAGCTATATAATGGATGGGGCTGAAAAAAGCCATTTATTGTCTGCTTAAATACTAATTGTGTTTCCTCACCCTTTTTTAGCCATATATAGAAGAAATTTGTGATAGTCTCCGAGGAAAAATATTTCAAAAATTTATGGAAAGGTATGAACAGGGAATATTACCTGAATTATCTGCCTAGTGTAGTGGGAAGGCAGGTCCTTTCAGTACTGCTGTAAATAAGGCTAAAAATGTGTATTAATGCATGATTAATCAAATGGAGTTTCTCAGCAAGCTCTGTAAATACCCAGCTTTGTGGGATATCCTGATCAGTGTCGGGATGTGTGAGTGGAACAGTTGGAAAGCTGAGGGATTTCTCAGTCTCAGCAGGGAGAGGTTGGAGTTTGGGCTGTGAAAAGGCAGAACTGGGGTTTTGGGGGTGTTCTGTGAGTGCCCATCTCTGGTGTGGGACTGGGAGACCCAGCCCTGGTGGTTTGGGGCTGAGCCCCTCGAAATGAAGGTGTAATAAAGAATTGCAGGCACATGTCTGGCTCTGCAGAGCAGCCCTTTCCTGCTCCTGTGTCTGGCTCTGGAAAGCTCAGCTGCCACCCAGGAACACCCAAATCCATTTTCTAAACTGGTTTGGTGCCATTCTGTGATAATTATAAAAATGCCTCCGTAAAACTGTTATTTCTTACTTTGAAAATAAATACTTAATTATTCATGTAGGAATAAGCAACTGTTTTATTCTTTTTTTTTTTTTTTTCCCAAAGCCTGTGGTATTGCTGATGTCTTCCCTATTTTAAGATAAAATGAGTTTAAAATGTTCCTTGGAGTATATGGAGGTTCATTAACATAAATCGAGCTGCCTGTGTTTTCTTATAATTATCTTTCTCTTGATGTAATTTAAATGTTTGTTAGCTCCAAACGTAGTTGTTTAAAAATTGAAAACCATCTTTGAACGGTTGAAAACCATGTAAGAAAGATGTGGGGACACACTGAGCACTGCCAGGGATAAGGTTATCTGCTCCCTTTCTCTCCCAAGGATGTAGAACATGGAGTGTGCTCTGCCTAGGAATTGTTTTTCTTGGTGGGGGTAAGATTACAGTTGGTGAAAGGAAGGCTGTCATTTATTAAATACCACCCCACGCCCTAGCTCAGACTAGATTTTAAATATCAGAGTCTTGACATTTCCTGTAATACTCTACACAATAGTCTCAGACAACTTTTAAACTTTTTTTTTTTTTTCTTTTGCAGTGACAAGTTTACTAGATTTTGTCAATGGAAAAATGTAGAGCTAAATATTCATGTAAGTACTTACAAGTATATTTATCTTGTCAGAGGCTGATACAGGAAAGAGAATGTTCAGTTTTGAATCCTGCTCTGCAAAGGCCTCATTAAGGAGGGTGGTGGATGTCACTGCTCTGCTATTCTTAGGCACAGCCCTGATGATTCCTGTCTGGACGTCCCCTCTGCCTTCCTCAGTTAATAGAATTGTGATTTTTTAATGGCTGAAAGAGCTGAACTGCCAGAATTGCTGCTCTTTATCAGCCCCAATCCCTGTCCACGTCCCTTTCCCACTCCAGTCCTGCCGTGACCCCAGCACCCTCTGAGCCCCTTCCCTTGGCCTCTGCTTTTGTCCCTCTGCACTTCTCTGTGACAGCTTGGGCTGCAGAAATAGCCCTGAATGAGACTGGCAGTTTTTGGGAGCAACAGCCTCATTCCCCTTATTGCTACTTTGTGCTGTAGTGCTTCCAAGTACATGGAAATATCAACAATAAGGGGCTCCTTTTCCAACACAATAAATGCTGTTGAATTACAGTTGAGGATCTCAGCACATTCATGGATCATTTAGATGTTTTCACAGTAAGTTTTTTTTTTAATGCTGGAAAAATGAAGGTCTTGTTTTGTTGTTTCTGTTTCCATTTGCAGCTGACTATGAATGATTTTAGTGTACATAGAATAATAGGAAGAGGGGGATTTGGTGAAGTGTACGGCTGCAGAAAAGCAGACACTGGAAAAATGTGAGTATCACACACTTTATGGCAGAGGTGATTGTAAACTCTGGACTATTGAGGAAATCCTTCCAATCCTTTCTTAGGAAATCACTGGAAAGCAGCATCACGTTGCTGTAAAGTTCTTTGTAATGACGTTTCATCCCCAGAGGTTCTGATTCCTGGCTCACTGCAGTTTGCTCTTGGATCCTGTTCCATGCCATGCAGGGGCTCAGTCTCACACAGCTCCTGGGCACATGGAAATATCCTGTCAAAACCAGTGGAAAATGCCCATGTGTTAAAATCAGGTGTGTGCTCCAACAGTTCCTTGGGTCAGAGCCCATTCCCTGTGTGCTGTTCCTGGTTCCAGGCATCAGTGCCATGTGTGGTGAAAGCAGTGATCCCATCTGGAAAGGGATATGCCACTGCTGCACTTGTGCTTCCCAGAGCTCTCTGTGGGAGCACCAGGGTCTGCCCTGGGTGGTTTTTTATTCTTTTTGTGGTCTTACCATTCACACACCTCCCCTGATCATCAGATTTCCATTCCTAGGCATCATTGTCCCATTGTGTTCTGATCTGAACATCTGGGCATGGATTTAACCAGTTGTTCTCAATGTCAATCCATTTCTTTATTTACACCCCACCCTTCCAACTTGCTTTTCTCCTGACAATTTTAGTCCACAGCCCATCCTTAAACATTTTCCTTCCAAGTGAGCAGGACATGTGTGAGGTGCCCTGTGTCTGGTTCCAGCTGGCTCTTGTGTGTGCCTGACATCCTTGTTAATAATAAACTTCTGACTCTTAACAAGTGGAAGACATCTTAATGTTGCTATTATTATATTCAGTATTTCTGCAGTGACTTCAAGTATTTATATTAATACTCTTACTAACAACGCTGGCTTTATTCTTGCTTTGGTACTTTTTGTCCATGTACAATTCATTCATTTGTCCATGTACAAAAATAAACATTTTATTTAGCTTGAGGCACGCTCAGCAGGCAGTTCTCAGAGTCCCAGCCATCTCCATGTCTGAGCAGGGCTCTGCCAGGAGGTGGATAAACCCTTGGGAAGTGAGAAGGACAGGAAAAGTGAAGCGAAGGACAGGTTTTATCAGATATAAATAGAGCAAAGGGAAGCGAAATGCGGGAAAACCGACCTTCTTTTTCAAATTTGAAGCAAAAATTAAGATGAGGTTCAGCTTCTGGGTAGAGATTTGGTTTAGTTCTTCTTGATCCAAACCCTGTGTGCCCATCCCTGACCCAGATCCCATCCCCTCTAGATGGCTGCCTCTGCTGCATTGGAGCCTGCCAGCAGCGTGGGAAGCTTCCCCTCCCTCCCAGGTAACACCAGCAGCGTTCACTGAGCACCCACACACCTCAGGCTTCTGCCAACCACCCCTGCCTGCACCTCTAGAGGGGCCAGAAGCAGCATTCCAGGGACAGCAGGACAGCCACAGACTTGATTTGGGACGGGTTCCAAGAGAAACTGTGGCTGCCCCATCTCTGGAAGTGTCCAAGGCTGGGTTGGACAGGGCTTGGAGCAACCTGGGATAGTGGAAGGTGTCCTTGCCTATGAATTTAAGGTCTCTTCCCACCCAAAATATTCAGTGATTCGGTGATTTCCATCAGCCTTGAACATCCCCAGTGACACTCTCCAATCAGGGCAGGGTTAGGGCTCATTTTTACTCACCCTTCACAGACTCCTCAGCAAGAACACATGAATATATTCCCAGCCTGGAAACTTAAAATTCACCCTCACTCCCCCGCTCCCAACACACTGATGTCAGGAATGACGTGGCTGTTTCAGGGAGCTGCAGCCAAGGTGAGGCCCCAGGGCTGGATGGGGATGGGCATTGAAGCACTGCTGTAATTTGGTGTTTTCCTAAAAATCCATGGGTTCCCATGTCTAGGAGTCTTCTGTGGAGGAACACACGTGTCCTTCTCACTGATGTCTATTAATGAACACCCCACAACGTCTTGGAAAAATACCCAGCCTGTATCATATCCTCCTGTGGTTGGTGGTTGTTAGGGTAACATCCTTTGTGAGCAAAATTTTATTAATTTGTGTAGCACAGATGGTAGAAGACTAAAAAAGCTTTCTTGTGTGTATCTGACCTTTCTCTGAGTAGAAAGAAAATTAAGGAAAAAAATAATAAAAATATATATATATATATATAAAAGACTCAGTGTGTGTTCAAGATATTGCTTTCCTGGTGGAGCTGAAACTGTTGGAATTAAATTGAACCATAACAGAGTTTCTGTTATTTAATTCCTATGGCAGATCCTTGCTTGTAGGTATGAGAAAATGAATATATGTTGTGTAATTCCTATCTCACTGTGATGGTTTGGACATGGAATTATTTGTTAAAGCACATTTCTCTGTCAAGAGGCTTCTGCTGGAAATATGTTAATTCTGGGAGATTTTTGGAAGTTTTGTATTTAGCCTGAAATGATGTTTTTAGTCCTGGGTTTCAGAGTTTCAGGAGCTTGCTTGCAGGATTCTGTAAATGTGCATGGCCTGACTGCCAGTGAATAGTTTTGATAGAGGAGATTTTTGGTGCTTTTTCTGAGTGGTTGTTTTGGTTTTTTTTTTCAGGTATGCAATGAAATGTTTAGATAAGAAGAGAATCAAAATGAAGCAAGGAGAAACATTAGCCTTAAATGAAAGAATTATGCTGTCTCTTGTCAGTACAGGAGTAAGTATCACTGTGTTTTTCTTTCTTTCTTCCATATAATGTAAAAGCTGTTACATATAATGCATATTCCATCAATTCTGTTGAGTGAGATGCAAAAATTAACCCCCACTGGAGCCCTCCCCCTGATTCTTGCAATGTGTGTGAAATGAGAAGGGAAAACCAAACTTGCTTGATCAGTTTGGGTCCTACAGAATGAGCATCCTTGCTGCAGAGGCTTGAGGGGGTGCCCATTTCTGAGGTAATTCATCCTCCCACCCTCCTGACTTTTTAAATATCCTTTTTTAAGTATTTTTGTTTGAAACTTTTCCAAAACATGATTCTGTCTTGTAAAAAAGATTCTTTTTTTCTTTTTCTATATATATTTTTAACTATAGTTAGATAGTACTTTGTGGAATCTAAAGTGCTAGTGCAGACAAGACTCCAGTTCATCTTCCCTTTCCTGTTGCTCCGATATCCAATTTTTCCCTTTTTGTTTTCTATGTCCTGTAGCTGAGCCAAGTTGTACCAGGCCAGTCTGCCCATCTATTCTATTTATGAGCTGGATTAAAATTGGATTAATTAGAATCTAAAGTGGAAACCATCACTGGTGTGTGTAAAAAGCCAGGACCTGCCTGGTGTTGGCTCCCCAGCCCTGGGGCCGCTGGGTGGTGGCTGAGGTGTGTTGGGCTCCGAGAAATTCCAGGCAGGATTGGAGGTGGCTCTGCCCTCATTGCAGTGACACTGTGGTTGCCATGGCTACGGGTGATGCTGGCAGGAAGGTTCACTTCCCTCACCTTGCGGTGCATGAATTAAACACTCAGTGTGGGAACACATCCCCCGTTCCCAGCAGACACGGGAGGGATGAGCGGGGATCCTGAGTGGTTTTGTTCCAGGCTTGTGCAAGGAGCAGGATTCCCAGCAGGGAGCAAACAGTGGGCTTTGTTCTGAGGCACCAGGGCCCTGTCCCCAGAGATGAGAGGATCTTTTCTGTGGGACAGATCTTGAAGGTCCTCGAGTCCAGGCATTATCTCTGCATTGCCATGGCCACCATGAGTGGAGCCAAGGCTCCAGGGAGAGCTTAGAGCTCCTTCCAGCACCTAAAGGGGCTCCAGGAGAGCTGGAGAGGGACTTGGACAGGGGAGAATGGTTTCCCACTGCTGGAGGGATATTAAGAAGGAATTCTTCCCAGTGAGGGTATGAGGCCCTGGCCCGGAGAAGCTGTGGCTGCTCCATCCCTGGAAGTGCCCAAGGGCCAGGTTGGAGGGGCTTGGAGCAACCTGGGATAGTGGAAATTGTCCCTACCTTGCAGGGGTAGAACTGGATGAATTTTAAGGTCCCTTCCAACCCCAACCATTCTGGGATGTGTGATTTATCCCTTCAGACTTTGAGAACAAGTTACCTGTTCTCACCAGAGATAGGTCGTGGTTTGTCCATGTCTCAGGATTCATGAAAACCAGTGGGGAGTAGGAGACTAGACCAGAAATTGAGGCAAATGACTAATAATTGTCCCATTAACTTTGTGTTTCTGTGGCTCCAGCACTGAACGTGAATTTGCATGTCTAGAGATTCAAAGAGAAAATAGATCAGGAGCTGCTGGTGGAGGCAGTTTTCTCAGAGGCCAGCACACAGTGAGGCTTTGAGCAGGGGGAGCAGCAGGAGGAACCATTTGTTTCTTTTGTTAAGGATTATCAGCTCATTAGAGTGACATTTCTTTTAGATTCTCAGAAATCTGAAGGACTTTGAAGAGAGGTTTTGTACAAAGTGCTGCTCATTCAGGTCAGGTACACCTGGGCAGGAGAGGCTGGAGCACTTGGAATATGCAGAATGAGACAGGTTTTGAAGGTGGTGGAATAAGAGAATTCCTTCAATCCCTGAATAGAAGCTGGGAGGCTGCAGTGGCACATGGTGTGCCCGGGGACAGTTCTATGCTGCTCAGGGCAGAATGGGACTGGGATGTCCATCACAGTACAGTTAGTCATTTAATTGGGAATCCAGATGTCTCTGCAAAATGCAGAAGAACAGCTGTGCAGATGACACAGCTGGCTGTGTAATCAGTTCTGTTCATCCACCTCAAGCTCTGGAATTCCTCAGCACTCCTGGACCAGGGACTCCACGCTGGAGTCGGTCGTGGCTGCGTGCTGAGAACAGCTTTCCATGGCCCCATTTCCAGTGGGTTCAGGAATACAACAGGCACCTCTGCAGAGCATCTGGAGCCTCTTGGATGGGCCTGGTGGCACCAGGCTGGGCTCTGCAGGGCTCAGTCTCCCTTGGTGCCTTTGCTGTGTCACTGTGGTGTAACGGGGACAAACTGTCACTGAGCTTTGGGTTTCCTCTTCTGCAAGACACAGGCCCCCATCTTCCCCTCCCACAGAGACCTTCAGGCTGGAAAGGCATTGTGAAATCCTTGGAAGGTCACAGAGTAGGGAAAAGATTTTACTTTCAGTTAAAAGAAAAATATATTCAATTTATGTAGTAGCCTGTATTTGGCCTGATTTCTGTTCAAAAACTGCAACATGGAAATCACCAAGGCAGTGATGGACCTCATGAAACCAGCTGGTCCCAAGGTGCTTGTGGAAGGGAGTGGTTATTCCAGGAATCCTTTCCTGAGGGTAGGAGGGGATCATTCCATCTGTCTGTTGCAATTCCAGGGGCCTTGCAGGGCTGTGGCTCCTCTCTGTTGTGGCTCCCACTTTTTTCTTTCTAAAAAAACCCAGCAGTTCAGCTTCCTTACCCAGATCTTGAGATAATTTTACTGATGGCTGGATTCAAGATTTCCTCCAAGGGATGATAAATAGAATACCAGAACATCCTCACTTGGAGGGCCCTGTTTTCCAGGGATTCCCACCCATCATGAGCAATAACCCTCTGAGATCAATAATCTGTTTTTTGGGGCAGAACAGGTACTTGGTTTTAATGTGTTTCAGTCAGTGACTGACACATCTTTGAGTGGCATGTCAGGACAGAGCTGCCCTCCAGTTAAAATGGGACACAGCTGCTCTGAGCACCTTTGTCCCCATTTTGCTGTCACTTTGTGCCCCAAAGCCGAGTGCTTGGCTTTCAGTGAACAGCCAAAACCAAATGTTTCCTCCTAGAGCACTTTTTAATGTGCTAATGTCTTTAAAATATCACATTCCTATTTTATTTTTTTTTTTATGGTTGCTCTAATACTTCTTTTTTTTTCCTTCCACATGATTTATTGCCACAAATTTGACTTCAGCAGTTCTCTGGACTCAATCCAGGATTGTTTGGATGTAAGGAACTCTTTCCAAACTGGTCTTAATTCACACATTAATGTCGTAATGTTGCTTATTTTCATTAGAGCAGAAACTTGACTGCAATGAAGAATTGCTCTCCTGGGGAAATAGGTTTTATTGCTTTATGTGTCCTTTAAAACAATAATTGTATGGTGGTTTCTTTTTTTTTTATTATTTTTATGCTGTAAAATACTCTTTTGCTGTGGTTTTTGTGTCAGAAAAATACAGAACTGCAGTAGAGTTTTTCTCTCTGTTAAGCAGGGATGAAAGGCAGCGATGAAATTAGGAATGCTCACACAAAAATGAGTTATGCATCACATTTACACTTCCAGATAACTTTTATTTTTAAAATCCATAAAAATATAAGCAAGCTATGCTCTGATGTAGAAAAACCTCTTTATTTGTCTATATGTGGTGTTTAAAAATTCTGCCACTAAATCCTTCTGGGTAATTAGATTGCTCTGAAAATTTAGGAGCCCTGCTTGGGCACACTTCTGAATTACCCAGTCAATGCAGGAAATTAAGTTAATAATTCTGCTAAAGCTGCTGTTGTGAAGTTAAGTGGCAGCTACAATAGTCCCCAGCACAGAGTTCATAACCAGAGGTTGTATCTTGTGTTAAGACACCACATCAGGCTCCTTATTTTTAGGGCCATTTAGGAATTTGGCTTTTTTTCCTGGATGTTGTGCAGGTGTTTCACACCCATCCCTTCCCTCTGCAGGGAGCGTTTAGGGGGAGCAAAACATAAAGTGCAGTGGGGTTGGAGAAGGGAAGGATGTGGCGCTGTGGGGATCCCTGGGGTTACAGTCAGGTCTAGAAACCTTTATATTTCAACCTCGTGGAAGGATGAAGGGGCTCTGAAGTGTCCCTGTCCCTCCCTTTCCTCTCTCCGGAGCCGGCCCGCGCTGCCCAAGGCCGCCGTGTTTTGCTGTTTCTAAATTGGGAAGGGAGCGAGTTCCTGTCAGAGATTCCCAGAGCTTTCCCTTGTCCATCCTGCAGCACCAGGAGTTTTCCTCATTGTTGGAGTCACGTGAGGCCACGCTCTGCTTCCTGCGGGGTGTCCTGGGCTCCTCTGGGATCGTCTCCCTGCCGGCCTCGGTACTTTGGGATCAGATGTGGAATGGGGCAGCCCAGCCTGGCCTGGAGCCCAGCCATTCCCAAATGGATCTCTGCAGACTCACCAAACAGCCCCGCTTTTGTACCACAGCCTCCCATCAAAGTGTCCCTGCCCATGGCAGGAGGTTGGAATGAGATGAGCTTTGAGGTCCCTCCCAACCCAAAGCAGTCCATGGTTCCATCCCGTAGGGCTTTGGAGAAGAAGTTGATGAGGTGACAGCCACCCCCTGGTCTCTAGCCAGGAGCCTCCTGGCTTGTATCAGCAGTAGTGTGGCCAGCAGGACCAAAACAGGTCCGTTCTTCATGGAAAGGATTATCCAGGCCTGGCACAGCTGCCCAGTGCTGGAGTCACATCCCAGGAGGGATTTAACAGCAGTGTGGATGTGGCACTTGGGGACACGGGTTAGTGGTGGCCTTGGCAGTGCTGGGGGATGGACTCCATCATCTCAGAGGGCTTCTCCAACCTCAGCAATTCCATAATTACGAATTAGCCCTTGCATCCAGCACAGCCCAGTGCAGAGGAAGATCTGCCAGCTGCTGCCTTGGGGTTTTGAACGTGTGTCATGGAGGTGCCAGCACCTGAGCAGACCTTGGGAACAAAGATGTGTTTTTCCGGTGGAATTTTTTATGGCTGCTTAAATATGGAGTGAATTGAGGTTCAGGTGCATCAGGAGGTGGGGTGTAACCCATCCCTGCCCTGGCTGCTCTGCTCTGACCTCCTAAACTTGCTCCCACCACCCTTGTGTTGTGGGTTTTGCATGATCTGGATGTTGCTGTAGCTGCATCCTGGACATTGTAACGCTCCAGAATCCAAACTTCCTGCCTGGTGTGTTTGCATCCCTCTGTTGGAAATGCTGCCTGGGGGGCCAAACACCTTCACTGTCACCTGGGCAGGGCCCTCACGGGGGGACAGGGGTTACCAGGGTAGCTGCATTTCAGGAGTGAGGAGAGAACTTGGGAATACTGGCAAATAGCACAGGGAAAAGAGCAGATGTATTTTTAGCTTTCCTAAGTCACACTTTGCTTTTTGCCTGAGGTGAGCCTCTTTACTCTTCCCTTGCAGGACTGTCCTTTTATAGTCTGTATGACCTATGCCTTCCACACCCCTGACAAGCTCTGCTTCATTCTGGACCTCATGAATGGTAAGCAAGACTTGTTCAGATGATGATGATGATATTACAGAAATTTTGGCAGGATTGCTGAGGTGGTTGGTCCCTCAAGCCTGGGCTTCTCTATGAGCTGATTTATTGAGCTCTCCACAAACCAATGTGTGGTACAGCCTTTGCTTGTGTGGAAATCCTCTTCTGGATTAGTCACTGAATGCAAATGTGTATGAAATAAATGCATTTTAAAATGGAGTTTCAGACTGATCAGATCTCTGCATGAACTTTCTCAGCTATTTTGTCACCACACAGATTTGCAGAGGGTGGGGCTGTGTGCTCCACAGGTGATAAGAACCTACAAAAGCTGTGCTGTTCCCCCACAGTGTCACCCTGGGTGCCTGCAGGATAAGATTTTACTGTTCACTTAATTACATCTCAATTCTCATTTCAGGAGGAGATTTGCACTACCACCTCTCCCAGCATGGAGTGTTTTCTGAAAAAGAGATGAGGTTTTATGCTACTGAAATCATCCTGGGGTTAGAGCACATGCACAATCGCTTCGTAGTGTACAGAGACCTGAAGGTAATGGCTGTTGGGTGCCTGCCTTGGATAACTTCCATGGATTACCTTTCCTGAAACCTTTCCTTGGCTGGATTATTTCTTTATCTGCCTGATTTCTGTAATAAGTTTTCAAAGTCGTTCTAATCTGTGCCATTATCCAGTTTAACCAGCCTGGGAGAGGCTTCCTGGGGGTCACAGTAAATCCTGTGAAATGTTACTTCTCTCCCTGATGGGAATAATCTAGAGGATATACTGTATTTCTGGGAGCTCTGAAAGAGGCCTTTGTGTGTGTGATGGGGGACAACAGCAGGAGAGATGCTGAGGGGTTTCACTGACAATTGGGAAATTGAGGACAGGTCCCAGAGAAGAGTCCCTGGACCAAGTGACAGCACAAGGGGATGTAAGTTTGCCCAGAGGCTGGGAATAAAAGGTGTAAGAGCCACACACAGACCCTGCTGTGTAGAAACCCAAAGCAGCTTGAGGCCAGAATGGATTATTCATTTATTACCTGCTTTGTGTTTCAAACCTTGCCTGGTTATTCCCTTCTGTTATTCAGTATTTCATAACCTGTGGAGTTGATGGTAGTGCTCTGTGAGAAGGTAGATTTTTATCTAGGAAGTGCCTGGTACATTGATGTTAAATAAAAGAAGGCAATTACCAATTACCAGGGAGTATTGATGTTTGAGTTGCTGTGCTGTGAGAGTTTGCAGTTGTCAGCTGGGGAATACCAAGCACTCACCTCCCTGTGTTGATTTCCAGCCTGCAAATATCCTGCTGGATGAACACGGGCACGTGAGGATATCAGACCTTGGGCTGGCTTGTGACTTCTCCAAAAAGAAGCCACATGCCAGTGTGTAAGTATTATGTCTGGTAGCTTTGCTGCACATACAGGTAGTGCTAAATTCATCCTGAATTTGTCTTTATAACTTGACTTTGCCTGAAGGGGAGGAATGACACTTGTATGGCCCAGGCTTGCTGAGCTGGAGGCTCTAATGAGGTTTTTTGGGCTCCTCTCCCTGTTTTCCTGCACAGTTGTAGCAGCTGATGTGTAGGCATGGCTGGGAGATGACACATTATTTCAGGATGATTCACTGCTCAGAGAAGAACCTGACTGAGTTAAAGTACCAGATTGCTTTAATTGTCCCAACCTGGTAATTAAATATTCCCAAACCGACTAAAATCCTGGATTTATTGTGTCTCTTTTCTGGATCTTCATGGAACTGAAGGCAAATTATGTTCCTTTCTGCCTCTTGCCATCAGGATGTAACTAGGATCTGAATTCCTGGAGTTGTGTGTGGATTCACATCTTACCTGGCATGTTTTATTCTTGGGTCCTCAATTGCCCTGATTTAGTCTCGAAATTTATGCAAAAAAGGAAACTCCAACCTGTCACACTGAAGACATTTGCAATTCAGTAGCTTCTTGAAAACAGTCCATATGTTTTGAGCATGTCAAGGTTAAAAGCAATGCCTGGTGGTGCCCAGGGGTGAGTTCAGGAGTGTCCTGTGCTCACCCAAGTGCCACATGAAACCCCTTTGGAAGCCAAATAAAATGGTTAAAATTAATTCTTTCCAAACTGGGCTGTCTTATTGATAGAATACTGATTTTTAATATATATTTTTTTTTTTGGCCAATGATAATGTTGGATGTAATGAATGTTTTGTGCTCTGCAGAGGAACCCACGGGTACATGGCCCCCGAGGTGCTGCAGAAGGGCACAGCCTACGACAGCAGCGCCGACTGGTTCTCCCTGGGCTGCATGCTCTTCAAGCTGCTGAGGGGGTGAGTGGGGCTCCTGCCTTGCCTTCGGGAGCCTCTGTGGGTGTCCCTTGGAATAGCAGGCCATCCTGTGTGACAGATTGTCTGAAGTGATCCCTCAGTGCTGACCCATGTCAGACAAAACCAGGCTTTTCCTTCCAAACCCAACCAAACGCAAGCCCTGTGTGCTGTAAAGCTACAAGTGTGGGGCATGAGGAAGGCAGGTCCTCCATCTGCTCCTTGAGCTGCTGTTGCAGCAGTTGAGTCCTCTCTTGGCAGCTGGTAGTGTTTCAAGTGCTGTGATGTTGCTCCTTGGAGTGCTCCAAGCAGCCCTGTTAAATCGTGGGCTTTATGTTAGGCTGAGACCCAGTGGTGTGGAGAAGTTCTTGGCTGCACTGGTCCCTTTTTGTGCTCCTCAGCCTTCCCTCCTGCAGGGTTTGGGCCAGGTACAAAGTGTGGATCCTTCCATTTACCTTATCTGTGTCCAAAGGTACACAATAATTACAGCTTTGCCAGCAATTACCTTCTCATTAAACTTACATGTCTAGAATTGATTAATGCCATGGGGTTTATCTGAGCAGTCAGCAAGCACTGATGGGCAAATGCTTGTTGAAAATGGCATTCTCACTGTTAATGGCAAACCAGAAGAAATCTGAGGCTTTTCATAGTGCTTCTCTGTAAAGATTGATCATTAGGTCATCCTGTGTTCTCACACATAATTAATTATAAGCTTTTATCTCCATGCAGACACATCACAAAGGAAGGTCAGAGTGTGACTTGTGAATTGAACTCTAGAACTGTATCAATTTAACATTAATTGTGCACAGAGCAGACTATGTAAGGGTGCAAATAAAGAAAGAAGTGGTGTTTAAATTGCCAGTCTTTGGGCTGTGATTCTCCCTGGCAGAGATGTTCAGGGTGGCATCAGTGCTCAGCCAGAAGCCAGAGCATTATTCACGATGAACTCTTATTCCTCATCTGTTCTGAAGCCAATTAAACACATCCCAAAACAAGGGCTGGGCACATGGTGCCATTTCTTGGTATTTGGTAAATTCAGTCTGGCACAGAATCTGCCCATCAGTCGCCAGTGAATCATTTTCTTCCCTGATCTACTCAGAGCATCCTTGTCAAAGTACATGAGGCTGTGTGGGAACCATTTACCTGTCACACTAAAAAGAGAAAAATTGGAGTCCTGGTCCATCCATTGCATCCATCAATCAGAACATTTTTGAGAATAAAAGGAAAGTAACTTGGGAGTAGCAGGTCTCCAGTTGAAACATGCTGGTACACGCTGCCATGTGGTAAGCCAGAATGCTTTAGAATAGCTAATTAATGGAATTGATAAGTGAAAAACATTTTGATTGTGAAAAACATCATCCCCTCAAGACTTTAAAGAAAAGAAGCAGGGAATATATCCTGAATGTAATCAAAATATCTCTTACTACAATACTGCTTCTTTCTTTCATGAGGGACTGTGTGATAAATCTCTAATGTGCCACGGTCTTCCATAGCTCAGAGGAAAATTCAAATTCAAACCAGAATTATGAAGCAGGAAAGGGATGAAGCTGATAATTTACAAGATACCATCAGATATCTTTCCAGTGGCTGATGCTGTGGGATCTGTGATCTCTTATCTCCTTACTGTCCATGCTGGGGAGTGGTGAGTTCAGTGGGTCATGCTCACCTTCCCTATAGAAATCCTTGGGATTAAATCCCTGTGGATGATGGCTGCTCGGGGTTTTTCCTTGTTAGCTGGAAACTGTTGAGGTTTTTGGGAGATAGATGTAATTGGTGAGGCATTTGAAGCACATCTTTAAGGCCAGATCACTTTTTAAGAACTACCCAACTTCCTACTCGCCTTCCTGTGGATCAGATTGTTCTGCAGGACAGGACTGATGAGGGGGAAGGATGGGACTAATAGGATGCTCCACTCTTTCCTGGCATTGGCACAGCTGAAATACCCTGATTTACTGTGGCTTTACATTTATTAACATCCTTTTTCCTCTTTCCACAGGCACAGCCCTTTCAGGCAGCACAAAACCAAAGATAAGCACGAGATCGACCGGATGACGCTCACCGTGGTAAGGCCTGGCCTCAGCGACATCCCCGTGTTCCCTGAGCTCCCATTTCCCCTAAAACTGGAACTGCACCCCCTGCTCTTCCAGAGAGCTGTTTCCAAACACCACCAGAGACCAGAAAAGCAGAACAAACCACTTCCATCATGGGATATCTCTTTGTGCTTCCTTTCTCCACAGAATGTGGAGCTCCCGGATTCCTTTTCTCCCGAGCTGAAGTCCCTTCTGGAAGGGCTCCTGCAGCGGGATGTGAGCAAGAGGCTTGGATGCCAAGGAAGAAGGTAGGTGTTGTCTTCTCCTTGGACCTCTGCCTTGAAAAATTTCCACTTCTCTGTCAATGAGTGAATTCATTTCAAGTAAAAATCTGCTTCCTGTTGTGAGGATTTTAATTTTGGAAAGAGAACATTAAAAAGTGCTGCTGCATGGAATTACATTTCAGCTTCCTTCAGTTTGGACATGTTTTTTTGGACATTTTCTGTCCTTAAAGCCTTCCCCTGAGTTCCCTGCTGTCATGCTTGCATTGGGTGGTGTTCCTGCTTCTCATCCCTCGGTTGTTGTTCTGGTTTTGCCTGATCTGTTTTGGCATGAAATCATACGACTTGACTCAGACATACTGACAGGGAAAATTTATTGCTTATATTGTATCTGTAATGATAGGAGCATATTACATACCAAAAAGACCAAAACAACAACCCCAATCCCAAAACCACCAAGCAAAAAACTGTGAGTATTGCTGGTGCTGCCTGTGTCACTCCATTATTCTAAGGAAAAGAGCTTTTGTTTTGTTTCTTGACTACAAGACACTCCTTGCTTCTTTAAGCTCACCTTGCTTGTAGCTATTTATGAAATTGTTATCTCCTGCTTAAAAAGCCAGTGTGAGACTGAGAGAGAAAAGGAGTAAACAACTGTTGAGAAACCATTGGGATGTGTGATAACAGGTAGCTGATGGCCACACCTGAGCCTGGGGCTGGCTCCAATTCCAGTGGGAAATTCAGAAGGGTTTTTGTCTTGGAGGCTCATTGATAATGACCTGAGATTGCTTTTCCCTGAAGCATACCAGGAGTAGTTGATTATTTGCCCATAAAATTTGTATAATGTGAAATGGTGTGGAGTAATCTGCTTATTTACAAGCAGTGGATGGGATCTGCCAAAGGATTGGTGTTTGGGATCTGACACTGATCCATGGCTGGGATCTGACACAGATCCACGTTTGGGATCTGACACAGATCCATGGCTGGGATCTGACACAGATCCATGGCTGGGATCTGACACAGATCCACGTTTGGGATCTGACACTGATCCACGTTTGGGATCTGACACAGATCCATGGCTGGGATCTGACACTGATCCATGGCTGGGATCTGACACTGATCCACGGCTGGGATCTGACACAGATCCATGGCTGGGATCTGACACAGATCCATGGCTGGGATCTGACACAGATCCATGGCTGGGATCTGACACAGATCCACGTTTGGAATCTGACACAGATCCATGGTTGGGATCTGACACTGATCCACGGTTGGAATCTGACACAGATCCATGGCTGGGATCTGACACAGATCCACATTTGGGATCTGACACAGATCCATGGCTGGGATCTGACACAGATCCACGTTTGGGATCTGACACAGATCCATGGCTGGGATCTGACACAGATCCACGTTTGGGATCTGACACAGATCCACGTTTGGGATCTGACACAGATCCACAGCTGGGATCTGACACAGATCCACATTTGGGATCTGACACAGATCCACATTTGGGATCTGACACAGATCCACGTTTGGGATCTGACACAGATCCACGTTTGGGATCTGACACAGATCCATGGTTGGGATCTGACACAGATCCATGGCTGGGATCTGACACAGATCCATGGTTGGGATCTGGCAAGAGAGGAACATTGCTGTTGGAAATGATGGAGTACCATCAGGAGTTCTTGCCTGCCAGCCCTAAAGCACTGTTCCAAGTGTTTCCACATGAAAATCTTCTCTCTTGTTGTTTACCCAGGAATTCTTATGTTTTTCTCACAAAAAAAGAGTGTTTTCCCGATGTTCTCAAGTGATAAAAATGTGACCTTTGAGGGCTTTGTATTCCTTGAATACACTTGAAAAGCCCCTTCGTTTGTTGACTTCAGTCACTTCTGTTTTGCAGCGCACAAGAAGTAAAGGAACATCCTTTCTTCAAAGGCATTGATTGGCAGCAAGTCTATTTACAGAAGGTAAAGGATGAAGACAGTAATTTTAGCTGACTTGGTAAAGCAATTGAAGGAAAATAAACCCAAACAGGTACTGAACAGAAAACTTGAGGGTCACAGTGCCCAGCACGTGTGCTGACTCACACAAATACAGGGAGGGTTGTTGATGAATATTCATTACTACAGATCTTGACCTGATAGAAATGAGTTATTATATTTCCATGGCTTCCTTTCCTCTGCTCTCTAAACTGAGGAGTTTTATCCCCAAATTTTTGAAGGAGCTCTAATTAAAAGAAGTGCCAACAATTTTGCACTGAAATTTAATTCCAGGGGGGGCACTCTGGCACAGTCAGGTGTCATCTGTGCAAAAAAATACAGAGGTTGTGCATGACTACAAAATGGAGTTAAATAATGCCCATTAATTTGTCTTTAATGATGCTGATTTCAATTTCTAGTACCCTCCCCCACTGATTCCTCCCCGGGGAGAAGTCAATGCAGCAGATGCTTTTGATATTGGCTCGTTTGATGAAGAGGACACTAAAGGCATTAAGGTACCAAACTCTCAGTGCTGGAGGGTGGCACTGGGACTGCTGTGCTTGGCTTTCCATGTGTGTGTGGCATTCCTTTGCTTCAGGGCTCTGGATGTGCAAGGAATTCCTTCAGGCTGGGAAAAATCAGTCCATGCTGGTACCTTGGGCTGGTTCCCTGTTTGTTGTTGCTTGCCAAGTCCTTACGTTTTTAGATTAACTGAAATCTGCTTTCTTACCAAAAGTTCTATGTGATAAAGGAAATTTTCAAGAATACCTTATGGTTTCTGTGTTCAAAAGTTGGGATTCATTTCTGGTAGCTTGGAGAAGTGGAGCTAAACCTTGTTTTAATAGTTGAGAGGTCAGAGAGTGCCAGGGGAAACTCTTAAAAATGACAAACTGCATTAATACTAGCAATGTCATAAGTTAGAAAAGTGGTAAAAGAAATTTTCAGGTTCTGATATTATCCAAAATGTAATGAAAATAATATAAATTATATTTTAAGAAAGAGAGAAGTTAGAGCTGCTGGCCCCTTTGGGACTCACAGGAAGGGGGTGACCCCCCTGTGAATTCCACTCTCTGAAGTTTCCCTGGGACTTTGGGACAGCAAGGCTTGGGTCAGTGCCCTTCATTGTTTTCATCACCCATTTCTGCAGTAGAACAGACCTCGTTCTTGTTCTTACAGAAATGAGTCAGGAGGGAAACTAATTGTTCTAAACTTTATAAGCAAAAAGCCCCATTAAGTACTCACTGAGCCTAACAGGGAGCTCGTCTGTCAGTATCACCTGCTGTGGTGACAGAAGTTGGCACAGAAAAGTGCAGAGAGTCTAGGATGTTCTTTATCCCAGAAAATTCCCCATCTTCAGCATCAATGTTAGCCTGGCAGGATTCCAGTCTCCTGTAATTCTGCAATGCCAGAATTCAGAGGAACATTTTCCAAGGAGGAACCAGGCGGTCTTTTTATTCCTTGAGGGGATCAGATATTCTCAATAACATGATTTAGTGAGAAATCCTGTCACAGCATGTGAATCACCAGCAGGTCAGGGCTGTGTCATCTGCAGTTTGATCTGAGAATCTCATAGCTCAGGCTGCCCATGGGATAAATTTACCCTTGGGGGTCAGTCAGGGAGGGATAGCGCAGCTCCCCTGGGTGTCACAGGCGTCCAGAGGGGACGGGAGGTTTCCTGCTTGAGTCAGCTGCCAGCGAGGTGCCAGGAGCTCTCTCTGCCCTGGGCACCACAGTTTGAACTCCTCACTCTCCTCCCTGCTCCCTGGGATTGTGTTTATCCTGCAGAGTGGTCTGTGGCCCCAAGAAGGGCACGTGAGCTTTGGGGTGATGAGGGGATGCCTGTGGCTGTCCCCCCTTCCTCAGGTGCTGCAGGGAGTCCCTGCAGTTGCAGAGAGATCTTCTGGGAGTGTATTTTCCTGCTGGGTTATGGCAAGGATCTCTGAAAATGAGGAGAATATCTATTCCAGCAGTGTCTGGCCTGACTGCAGTAGGAGAATTAAGCTGCTCCAGCTGTTGGTGCTGCATCTACACACCTTTAAACCCCTCCAGGGATGAGCACTCCACCACTGCCCTGCTCATTGCTGGATAACCCTTTAGGTGAAGGATTTTTTTCCTAATTTTCTTCAGTGCAATTCAGAGTTGAAGTACTCAAAGGATTAGTGGAGAAAATAATCTTTATACCAGGAAGATCGAGGTCTGCAGCACATGCTGCTGAATTCCAATGGTTAATTATTAAGAATACAAAGCCAAGCTGTGGAATGGAGCTTTTGTGCTGAGGAAGTTTTTGTGCAACAAAGTTAAGAATACTGTTGCTAAACTTTGGAGTAATTACTTAAATGTCTAGAGAGCATCATGGGGCAGTGTTGAGTGAGGATTTTGGAGCTATCAAACCAAACAAGTTTTGAGCAGGTGGCCTGTTCTCTGCACATAAATTAATAATCTTTGCTTAAATTAGTGTCTGTGCTTCTCTTGCTTGCATCTGTTTGTTTTGTGAAGGTTTGAGTTCAATCCATCTTGTAAAATAATACTGTTGCATGGGTAACTATTAACTGTTGGGGATAAGAATAGTGAAAGTTATTAAAATGTTGGGTTTTTTGTTGTTTTTCTCTTGCAAGTTGCTTGATAGTGACCAGGAGTTATATAAGAACTTCCCTCTGGTAATATCGGAGCGTTGGCAGCAAGAAGTAGCAGAAACTGTTTATGATGCAGTAAATGCAGACACAGATAAAATTGAGGCCAGAAAAAGGGCTAAAAATAAGCAGCTTGGCCACGAGGAAGGTAATCTGTCCTTACACTTCTCTCATCTTTTGCTGCTAGGTAGTAATTCCTGGGTTTGGAGTTCCACAGACTCCCATTGCCGTCATTCCCGGGAATCGTTAGGATTCGTTTAATCACTGTCGTGTTGCTTAAGATGTTTCTTAATGTTTTGAAATGCTGAATGATGACATCAAGCTTTGGAAAGAGATTCATGGAATCCCAGAGTCCTGGAATGGTTTGGGTTGGGAAGGACCTCAAAGCCCATCCAGTGCCACTCTCTGCCATGGGCTGGGACACCTTCCACCATCCCAGGTTGCTGCAAACCCTGTCCAACCTGGCCTTGGGCACTTCCAGGGATCCAGGGGCAGCCACAGCTTCTCTGGGCACCCTGTGCCAGGACCTCCCCACCCTCCCAGTCTGGGGGGTTTGATTTCCTGCCAGAGCTGGGAAGGGCCCCAGGAGGTTTAGCACAGCAAACTGCAGCTTGCACGGGGGTGTTGCATCAAACCCCCAAACTCTGGAGAGCAGCATTCAGTGCTTTTAACAACCTCCTCCAGTGAGATTCTTCTCCAAGAGCTGAGTGCTGTCCTTGTTCCTGCTCTGCAGCCACAGCAGCTGTGCAGTTAGGGCAGAACTGGGGCTGTGTGTGTGATCTGACCCTGCTGCGGGCACTGCGTGTCCAGGGCTCACTCAGAATGCTTCCAGCTGCACCTCCTGCCGCTTTGCTAACATCTCCTCTCGCTTTAGATTATGCCCTGGGGAAGGACTGTATCATGCACGGATACATGCTCAAGCTGGGGAACCCCTTCCTGACTCAGTGGCAGCGGCGTTACTTTTACCTCTTCCCCAACCGGCTGGAGTGGCGAGGAGAAGGAGAGTCCCGGGTGAGTGAGGGGACTGGGGAGCTGTGCTGGAAGGCAGGTGGAGGTGAGACACACCTGGAGTGCCCAGGAGTTCTTGTGGGGAAGGAGTTTTCACTAGAGTAAAAGCCCAGTGGATCTGAGTAACTTCTCTCAAGTCTCACTGTAGTTAATGGGTAGCTTACACTGCACGGAGGAGACTTAAAGTTGACTTGAGAAACCTGTTTGCTCTGTTTTGTTGTGTTTTTAAAGGATTTTGGTAGTTGATGGTGTTGTTTTCCATTTAGGATCTCTGGACTATTTATACAAAAAAACACAAACTGGTAAGGTGACAAATGCTATAGCATTTTATTGCCCAGAAAATGCTATAGTGGCTGTAGTGTAGCCCAGCTGTGCTCATGTGCAGGGCAGATAATTTGTGTATTTAAGTTAAGGAAGCGTTTGGAATTTAAGACATTGTGTCCTCTGCAGTCCATAGGGAGAGTTTTCCTGCACACTGCAGTGTATGTTCTCTTTGTAAGTATTCAGTGCTGAAATACTGAAATACTCCCTTTCTGCTCTTTGAAATGGTAAAATTGGCTTTTGTTTTTTGGTTTTTTTTGGTAATAACAGTAATGCTTGAAAAATGTATCAAATTATATGCAGCTCTTCAGGGAAAATAGTGAATATTCTGTTTGCAGACACACCTATTTGTAGATTCTTATTTCGTGCTGTCATTACTGGCTTTTAGAGCTGATATTTCGTTGTCACTGTTGAAGCAACCAAGCCCCTTGTAAATCTCTCTCTTACCTTATTATCTATCTTTAGTTCATGACCCAGCCTTCAGAAATAAATGTTTGTGTAATGACTCTCAATGTTCATCACTTAATTCATGTGGATAGTCCAGGAAAATGGAGATAGTGGCTTCATATGATGGGTAACAGGGTTTTTTTTTTCAATTATTTCTCTGCTCTTTTGCAAATGCTGCAGCAAAACCTGCTGACAATGGAACAAATTGTATCTGTTGAAGAAACACAAATTAAAGATAAGAAATGCATCTTACTGAGAATTAAAGGAGGAAAACAGTTTGTCCTACAGTGTGAGGTAAGACTTGATTTTTGATAGCTTGATCAGATTGTTTTGCATATGATAAACAACTGACAAGTTTTTCAGGTCATCCTGTTGCATGTTAACTAAGGCACTTGGTGAAGCAGAGCTGAAGTGTTTATCACACTCGAGTTTTGAAAGCAGGAAACCTGCAGCTGTGCCAGTTCCCATCATGGATTTCAGTGGTTTTTGGGAGAAAACGAGTTTGGTTTATTAAATAGCTAAAAGCTCCCAAACTTCTCAAGCTCTGTGTGCTCCAAGGGGCTCATTGGCTCTTGCCTCACTGTGGGGAGCTGCTGGAGCTCATGTCTGGAAGGGGGAAGTGCTCAGGTCCTCAAAACATTGTACCAGCCTTCGTTGGGGTGATGGAGAAGCTAAGGGCAATACCCAAAATCGCTAATTCCTTCGGAACAATTAAAATAACTTCCCTAAAGTGCTGTCTGAGAGAGAAGACGCTGTTGGCCGCGTAGGACGAAGTGCCAAACTGCTTCTGTGTCTCTTGCAGAGCGACCCCGAGTTTGTTCAGTGGAAAAAAGAGCTGACAGAGGCTTTCACCGAGGCCCAGAGGTTGCTGCGCCGGGCTCCAAAGTTCCTCAATAAATCCCGCTCCACGGTCGTAGAGCTCTCGAAGCCCCCGCTCAGCCACAGGAACAGCAACGGGCTGTAGGAGACACCGACCACGTTCCCACAGGGAGAGCTGCTTGGTGAACCTGCAGAGTGTCCCAGAATCCTTGTGAACGAATGACTTTGTGCAGTCCTGGGCGCGGGACGCGCTCGGAAGAGGAGGAGTTGGATGTTTACAGCGTGGGGTCGCGTCAGGACTCTGTCTCCGGAGTTTGTGCGGACTGGAAGGGTGGCGGGGGTGTCCCTGCCCCCGGCAGCGCTGGAAGTCACCAAGCGGAGAGGCTGCTCCTTGCTCCCACGCGTCCCCACCCCCGGCGGGGCCCGGCTGAGCTCCGTCCCTCTGGAACTACTGATGGAAGGAAGGAAGGAAGAGGCTTTTTCCCCGCCGTGCCCTGGCTCGGCGGCGCCGGGCCGGGGGTGGCGCGGGTGCTGCTGGCCGGGTGACGCTCCCGCGGTGACACCGACGGAGCCGGAGCTGCCGCCTGGCCGTGGTGGGTGCCCCTCACTCTGTCGTGTTGCCGTGTCCTTCCCGACCATTACTGCTGACTTCTCTGATAACCTTGCTCCATACTGCTGATGATCAACAGTGTGACTCTGATGCACTTCAAAGTACTGAATTCTAACTGTCCTGTGGTTTAAATGTTATTGCTACTTCATGGGAGCGTTGAACTCGAATTATTCCCTGGGTTTGCTGTACTCACTAATAGTAGCTACCACCGTTTTGCTTCTTCTACGTATATGCAGTACTATAACTGACACAATAGAGTAATAATTGGTGAAGAGGAATTTATGGTAGCTTCATCTAGTGCTCTGTTGTATAAATTGACTATTTTAGCACAGTTTTTAAAGAGCAGATTCCTTTTGACAAGTTTACAGTGAACATAAAAGACAGTTCTTTTCCATTTCAGGTCAACTGCACTTTTTAAAAAATTAAAAAGAAATTATTCAAATCCAGTGCATTCTAGAGCATGTGCTGGGTTCCGGTGTGTGTGGGTACCTCGGTACGTATCCCGGATCACTCCTCAGTCCTGGGACTCGGGATCCTCCTCTGCTGTACACAGGTGTGTTCCCATAGCATAGAAATCCCCAGAAATCCCCAGAAATTCCCAGTTCCCCCTGGAGCCCGGCCCAGGAGAGGTTCATGCACATATCACAGCTCGGCTTAGGAAAGGATCTCTCATTTTCTGTTCTGAAGAGTTCAAACTGCCCACAGTGAAAGCAGTGTGAGAAAACTGAGCATGGAAGTGACAGAACGAGCTGATGAAATGCCAGGTTTATGTTAATTCCACCTGAGGCACCAGGTGTGTTGGGTGGAAAGTCTCACTGAAGGAAAGATCTAATCCTGAGCTGTCCCACAGCTTCAAGCTGGGCCCTGCCCTGGGTGTTGTGCTGGTTTGTAAGAGAGAGGTCAGGGCTGAACTTAAGCTGTTTTTCCAATTCAGTGACCAGCTTAGAGAAGATTTTTCTTCCCATCTACAGAGGTACAACTCTCACAGTCCCTGAAGACAGTGGAGTTGTGCCTGTGGAAGTGGGAGTAGAAGTTGTGTGTGGTTTCTCGAGCGTGTGTGGCTGTCAGATCACCACGGAGTTCCTTGGAGAAAAGTAGTACAAGTGGCTCTGTTTGCTTCTGCATGAGAGCTGTGTTTGCTGCACAGCTTGTGCAAACCCTGGCTGACCACCTGGGGCTGCTGCAAAGGGAAAATGCATTCTGGAAAATATCCCCTGAGAAAGTGCTTTCTTTCAATGATTTTTTTTTATTTTCTCCCCCCGTTTATTTTCTAAATTATTTTGTGTAAACAGTACCAACCTCTCTGTCATTCCTATTGAGCATCTCAGCTCCTCTGTAAGGAGCAGTGTCAGAGGTCAGTGGTTGATGATCTCGGAGGTTTTTCCAACCTAAAATGATTCCATGATTCTGTGTTTGGTATTTAAAAAGTGTTTGGGATAAAAAATGTCTCATCCCGTTGGCTGTGGTTCAGCTTTCCCTACAATACCATGCAATGCTCGTATTTTTCTCCTTGATTTAGAAAAAAACCCTCAGATGGTGTTAAAACCTTCTCACAGTTCTTGTGTAACTTGTTTTTACTTTTTTAGTCCCTGCTCAGTTCCATTCTTCTCCTTCAGTTATTTTCCATGGCTGGATTTCACTCTCACTCCCTGTCAGCAGACTCCGGTGCCGATGTCCGTGAGGGGGGAACGGGTAATCAGCTGGGAAACTGTGCCTCAAACCCAGAGATTTTATGTGAAATGAAGGCTGTGTATTGATTTAGGGAAATACATCTATTTTGGAATGTGATGGGATGGCTGAATATCCTCATTATCCTGGTCCTTGCTTGCCCCATCCAGTCTCCAGTGGGAGGGGCAGGAAAAGATTTGGATTTCTTTAGCCAGCTGATTTATTGACAGTTGAAAATAGCTTTATTTTCGTGACTTGTATCTAACTGTGCAGCTAGGGGGGAGGAGAGGTTATCACAGTGACAAACTCCTGAATGAAGGTGGGATCCCAGGAGGAAATGGGGCTCTGTGTGGAAGTGACTGGATGTGCTGGTGCAGAGGGAGAGCTGGAATTGCACTCTCCAAACCAAAAAATCCTGGTTACTGCCCCAGACTGCCCCTTCCTGGTGTAGCAACCGGAGTCTCTGAAGTTTTTGTTTTGGACAGAGATTCCTGGTGGTGTTAATTTGCAGGAGGGTCTTTGGCTGTGTGTTCAGGATCCCTCGTTTATTTGCTAATTATTTTGCAAATTCACAAAACTGTTAAAGGAGCATTTACTGCAGGGTGTTTTTTGTGGGGTTTGTTTTTCAATCCTTCATCCAAGTGTTGGCCATCCACTTCTCCAAGTGTAAATCTTCCTCCTCTTAGTTGTGTTTGAGCCTTTTGTGTTCTTGTCCCCGGTCCAGCAGAGGCTCGGCTGCAGGCTCACGGGTTCTTCCCTGAGTGCTGCTGTGAGAGAAGCTGGAGTAATGCTGGAGTGGATCCAGCTGGGACTGACATTCCTGGTATGTTCCCCCACCCCCCAGCAGGCTTCAAAAAATCTTGGAGCAGGCTAATAATAGCTGGAAGTGTGTCTGGGAAGGGAAGCCTGGCAGGTAGGGAAAGAAGAGCTCTGGGGATAGACCTTGGCTTAGTCACATTTGAGTTTTCCTGAATTTCTTGGGGCTGCCCTGAGCAGGTCCAGGAATTGGACTCTGATGATCCTTGTGGGTCCCTTCCAGTTCAGGATATTCCATGGTTCTGTGATTCAGCACCTCCCCTTTAGAAACCCAGTGGAAGATTTTCCTCTCCCAGTTCTATCAAGGGGGAAAGCCCTGAATTGTGAAGGTTGTGTTTGGCTATGAGATAAATCAGGTGTTTGCAGCCCAGTGTGGAGGTGCTGGAAACACTGGTTTGTGCTAAAAAAGGCTAATTTTGGTCATGGTCCTGCCCGTGGTGGCCAGAGGAGCTCTGGGGCTCGATGTTCCCCGAGCAGGAGCAGCCCTGGGGCTGGGGGTGACTCGGCATCGTCATTCCTCAGGTTTACAGTCAGCTCATGAGGAATGAAATCCCTGGAGCTCTGAGTTGCTCTTTCCCTGGCAGCTGGTCAGCTTTAGGACCAGGTTCCTTGATTCCATGTCCATATCCGTGTCCTGCAGCCGTTGGCACGGCGCTGTCACCTCCCAGCACGTGGCAGTGACACGGCCCCTCCGCCTCTGAGGTGTTTGCACCCGAAATATCCCCAGAGGAAGGACTGGTGGAAGTGTACAGTAGACAATAAATAATTCTAGCTGTGTTGATTAATATAAGGAATGAGTCAGTTCTACAAATTAAAGAGGAAAAAAAAAAAAATCTGAAAAGCGTATTTTGACAAAGCATAGTATTAATTTTAATATTGTAAAAAAAAAATAAGGAAAATATCTAAAATATACAGAGAAAATATGTATATCCAAATGTCTGAGGAGTTTCAAGATAATCTACTTTTGTTTCCTGTTGGTTTCTATTCCATGGTGTACATATTGTGTGGATGGAACATTGGCTGTTTTAATACTATTGTTAAATTGTATTTTTATTTTGTGTTAAACTAATCATCACAGACTCAGCTTTATTTTGTTTATGTAAAGGTTGCTATGCTCTGTAGGTATAAACCCGAGAATTCTATTTTAACAGAAAAAGCATTTTATATTATTTATTAAATACATGTTTCTCCAACTTCTTACATTCCACAGAAGTTCTGCTCCTTGTATGTATGGAAGTGGCAGCTCCTTTCAAGCAGGATCAGCCAGCTTTATTCTGTTTTTCATGACAAAGTAGGGACGGATTCCCTGAGGCTGTGCAGCCATTCTCTCCCAGCACAGGGACTCCAGGCTCTGTCAGGACCATCTCAGGTGGCTCCTGAATGCAGAAACACCTGGAAAACTCCTGCAAATCCACCCCTCGATGGGATATTTCCACATTTCTCCTTTATCCCTCAACATTCCCAGAGCAAGTGTTTATTCACAGGAGTCTGTGCTGAATTAAAGAGAATTAATGACCTAAATTGGGGCAAAGAGTCAGTGTGGTGTTTGATCCAGCTCAGCCATCAGGGAATTGCAGAGCTGTGAGGGGAAGGAGCGAGCGGAGGGAGAGCCTGGAGCGCTGGACACGGGGCTGGGCTGCAGGAGCCAAAATGTCCTTACAGGAGATGGGTTTGGTGTTTGAGGGAGATCAAAAAAAGCCCTGAGGCAGGAGCAGTGCCTGTCCTAGGACAGGACCCTGCAGGGACTGTCCCTCGGGGCTGTGGGGAGGGTGACACCCAGGCAGGACCCCCCTGGCTGTGGTGCCATCCCTCCAGGAGCTGCCTCTGCTGGGCACATCTGGGCACATCTGCAAAGCCAAGCCCAGCACCTCCATCCCCAGTGAGGTACAGAAATAGCCCTAAATTCATCAGGTCACTCAGCTTCCCAAATGAGTTCCAGTTGTGAGCATGGGCTGTGCAGTTTGAGGAATACTCAAGGTATAACATTGTGTGCTCAGAGGTCTGTGCTGGTCAGGGCTGATCCCCGTGGCATTTCTGGGGTGAAGTGTGACGTTTTCCTGCTGCTGAAGTTCTCACTGAGGGGCTGCCTGGGGCAGGGAGGGATCCTTGTTGTGCTCCCCGGAGCACTCTCTGCCTTCTTTCCCATTTCCCTCTCTGATCCCATGGGATTTTGGGGTGAGCTGTTCCTGGAGGGAAGCAGGGAGCTGGTGGTGGGTGGGACTGTGCCGATGGCATTGTGGCTCTCTAGTGTCACCCCTGGAAAGGTGCCCTGGTGGGGACAGTGCTGAGACCCGTGCTGCTGCCCTGGGGTGTGTCCAGGCAGGGATTTGGCAGAGAACCTGGGGACAGCTGCAGGAAGGTGGCCTTGTCCAGGGCCAGGTTGGTCTGGGTTTGTGTGACACGCTGTGTTTCCAGGCTGGAAAAGGAGATGGGCTGAGGTTTGGGCTGGGAAGAAGCTTTCCTGTTGGTAGCAGGCATCTTCTCCTCAGGGAGAAGGGAGAGAGCAGACAGTGGGTGAGATGGCACAAGAAAATCTGTGTGAAAAACAGAATAAAGCAGGAGCATCCTCGGAGAGGGGATTTGTGAGCACTTCCAGTGCCTCACTCGGTCTTTTAAAACAAAAAGGAGCAGATTCACACGAACAGCTACTCGCGATGAAGGAAACGATCGAAAGAGAACCTGTCCAAAATGTGTAATTAATGGCAAGCAAAGCCAGGATCTGTAAATAACTTTAGATATTGTATCGATGAGATCATTCCTTGTTTTATGTACTTGGCTCTTTCCATATTTATTGTGGGGAGGAGGGTCCCGGTGCCTGTGAGCTGTGGCCTCGCTCCTCACGGACTGTCCCGGAGTTTACAGCCCCGTCGTGGCGGGTGTGCCACACTCGGTTCTTGCCGCCAGTATTTTTTTAACGGATTATTTTGGCACAGCTAAGCTGCTTCTGTGTGTTGGTCAGTACAACTGCTCTCCTACGACCAGACCCCAATAAAAACCGTCCTTTGCGTGTGTGCTGGTGTCTCGTTCTTTCCTTGTCCCCTGTCCCCACACTGAGCGTGAGGCTGTACTGGGATGTGCAGGATGCTGCCAGGACCCCATGCCCTGCTGCCCCATGCACAGGTAAGTCACTTCCTTCTCCCCAGCTCTGGGCATCCTGTTTTCCCAGGTTTTTCCTGGTTTTTCCCAGGTTTTTTCCTGGTTTTTCCGAGGTTTTTTTCCTGGTTTTTCCGAGGTTTTCTCCTGTTTTTTTCGAGGTTTTTCCTGGTTTTTCTGAGGTTTTTTCCTGGTTTTTCTGAGGTTTTTTCCTGGTTTTTCCCAGGTTTTTTCCTGGTTTTTCCCAGGTTTTTTCCTGGTTTTTCTGAGGTTTTTTCAAGGTTTTTCCTGTTTTTTCCCAGGTTTTTTCCTGGTTTTTCCCAGGTTTTTTCCTGGTTTTTCCCAGGTTTTTTCCTGGGTTTTCCCAGGTTTTTCCTGGTTTTTCCCAGGTTTTTTCCTGGTTTTTCCGAGGTTTTTCCTGGTTTTTCCAAGGGACACAGCAGCTGTGTCCTGCAGGTGAGACGGTGCCAGGAGGTGTGTGATAGGTGACCAAGAGTGGCTTTCCACCAGCAGTGGCTGCAGCACCACCTGGCAAGGACCATGGAAACTGGGATCCATGAACTGGGATTCATGGAATCCCAGGTAGGATTTGGGTTGGTGAGATGCTCAGCCAGCCCTCGGGCTCCAGGCTGACAATCCTGTTTCCTTTTTTTACCACCAGAGCCATTCTGACTGTGGGTGCCACTGCCCTGGGTTTGTCCCTGGAGCTTTTGGGTCAGATGCAGGCCCAAGAGTGGCTGAGGTGGGGACGTTGCCCCGCTGCAACTGCTGGCCCTGCTGGCCTTGGCCTGAGCTGCTGGCCTGCACCCTGTCTGCCTCTTGGGGACATGGGACACAGGTCCTGCTGGGCCCCGGGGGTCACCCTTTTCCCCATGTGGTCACCACGTGTCCACTCTGCTGCTCCCCTCCCACCTGTCCTGGCCGGGTGCTGACCATGCTGCTGTTGGTGCCAGGGGCTATTTTGAGCTCCGCTCCCAGGTCCTCCTGCAGCTCGGCCCCATCTCAGGGCTGGGGGTGCTCTGGGGACCCCCGTGCTGGGCTCCCAGCCCGGGGTGTCCCCCTGGGGCAGCGCCAGAGCGCTCTGGGTGGGCTCGCACCCGAGCAGAGCGGTTCCCCCATTTCTTTGGGGTGCAGAGGTGCGCCCCGAGGAGGGCACGGGTGACACACGTGTGCACAGGAGCAGGAGCAGGAGGGCCCCGCGCTGCCACCGCCTCTCCCCAGCCGAGGCCCCGGTGCCACCGCCGCGGGTATTTTTAGCAGTGACATGTGTCACCTCAGCTG